GATGAGAGAGGAAAGAGTCCATGAACCTGAAGACAGATGAATAGAAATTGTTCAATATAACAATGGAGAGAAAAAAATTGGGAAAAACAAAAAAGAACAGAATATCAGGGACCTGTGGAACAATACTAAAATGCAAACATTCATGTTATCAGAGTCCTTGAAGGAGTGGAGAAAGAGTGCAGTTCAGGAAATCATAATACAAAAATAATTTGCAAAATTTGCAAACTTCCCAAATTTGTAGGTTCAAGAAACTCCGCAAACCTCAAACAGGATCAGCTCAAAAACATTACCTCCCAGGTACATGATAATCAAACGTCTTTAAAGTTAAAGAAGAAATCTGTAAAGTAGTCAGAGAAAAAAGTGCATCATCTATAGGAGAATATATATTTGAATGACTGTTGATATCTCACCAGAAACCATAGAGGCTAAAAGGAAATGAAACAACATTTTGGAAGTGCTGAAAGAAAAGAACCACCAATTCAGAGTTCTATATCCAGTGAAATTACCTGTTAGGAATAAAGGTGAAACAAAAACATCCTCAGATGAAAGAAAACTTTACAATACCTGTTGTAAAATAAATACTAAAAGAAATTCTTCAGATGAAAGAGAGATGATACCATTGGGAAGCTTAGAACATCAGGAATGAAGGAGAAACAATAGAAATAGTAAATATCTGGGTAAATGACTATTAATCTTTTCTTGAGTTCCCTAAAAAATGATTGATAGCTGAAAGCAAGAATTAGGACTCTTCTGATGACATTTTCAATGTAGATCTAATATATAAGACAGGTATAGTATAAAGAAAGGAGTCTAAGGGGACTTACATGATGGTAAAATTTCTACATTCTATTTAGGATAGTAAAATATCTAAATAGATCAAAGTAGACAGAGAAAACTTAAGTATGTAAGTTGCAATCACAAGAAAATTACCAAGGAGATATATTAAAACATACAATAAGATAAATTAAAGTGAAATATTAAAAAATGTTTAGGGGCACCTTGGTGTCTCAGTCAGTTAAGTGTCAGACTTCAGCTCAGGTCATGATCTAATGCTTTGTGAGTTCAAGCCCCATGTCAGGCTCTGTGCTGATAGCTCAGAGACTGGAGCCTGCTTCAGATTTTGTCTCCCTCTCTCTCTGCCCCTCCCCCCTCACATTCTGTCTCTTTCTTGTTCTCAGAAATAAACATTAAAAAAATATTAAAAATGTTTAAATGACTCAAAGAAAGAAGGGGAAACAGAGGATCAAAACACAGAGAGTACAAACAACAAATAAATAATAAAATGACAGCCCTAAATTCAAACATATCAATAATTACATTAAATCTAAATGGACCAAACATACCAATTAAAAGACAGAAGTGGCCAAAATAGGTTAATAAAAACAAGATACAAGTGCAATTATATTGACATAATGATATGGATAGGTTAAAAGACTGAGACATATATCCAAAAAACCATTGAACAGTACTCTTCAAATAGGTGAATTTATGATGTATGAATTATATCTCAATAAAGCAGTTCAAAGAAGATTAAGATACATCATGCAAACACCAATCAAAAGAAAGCTGGAATGGCTATATTAATATCAGACAAAGTAGTCTTCAGAGCAAAGAATATTACTGGGGATAAAGAGATACATTACACAATAAAAGGGCCAGTTCACCAAGAAGACGTAATAATCCTAAGTGTGTATCCACCCAATAATATGACTTTAAAATGCATGAAGCAAAATCTGATTAAACTGAAAGGAATGGAAAACTCCACAATTATAGTTGAAGAGTTCACTATTCCTTGCTCAGTAATTAACAGAACAGGTAAATAGAAAATAGCAAGCATATACAAGAACTGAGCCATAAGTCAACTGGAACTAATTGATGATTCTAGAACATTCAATCAAAACCCAGTAGAAAATAAATTCCTTCCAAGTGTGCAAGGAACCTACATCAATGAAGACCTCATTTTGAGTCGTAAAAACAAGTCTTAACAATTTAAAAATAATTGAAATCTTACAAAGTATGTTATTTGATCACAATGAGATCAAACTAGAAATTTATAGCAGAGCAAAAACTGGAAAATCTTTGAGCACTTTGAACTTAAAAAAATTACACTTTTAAGTAATTTATGGGTGAAAGGAAAGTGTTATGGAAATTAGAAAATACTCTGAATTGAATAAAAAAAAATACCAAAATTGTGAGATGCAGCTTCAAAAGCTTATAGAGAAGTTGATAGTATTAAATGGTTATATTAGAAAAGAGGAAAGATCTCAAATCAACAATCTAAGCTTTCACCTTCAGAAACTAGAAAAAGAAGAGAAATATAAACCCAAAACAAGCAGAAGGAAGGAAATAATAAAGACAAAAGCAAAATTCAATGAAATTGAAAATAAGAAAACAATAGAGGAAAATCAGTGAAACAAGAAGCTTTTCCTTGAAAAAATGAATGATAAATTTCTAGGTTGACTCACTAAGGAAAAAAAGAAGATATATATTACCAATAACAGAAATGAGAAATGAATTATTGCAACAGACCTCATACACATTAAAAGACTAATAAGGGAATAATAATATAAACAACTTTACAAAATAAATGGACAATTTAGATAAAATGAACTAAATCCTTGAAGGCCACAAACCACTAAAAACTCACCCAAGAAGAAATAAATAACTTAAACTCTCCTATGTTTATTAAAGAAATTGAATTTATAGTTAAAAACCATCTGAAAAAGAAAACTCCAGACTCAAAAGATTTTGCCTGCAAATTCTACTAAATGTCTAAAGAAGAAACCAAGCCAATCTTTTGACATATAAATCTCTTCCAGGAAATAGAAGGGGATACTTCCCAATCCATTTTAATGAGTCTAATTTTATCCTGATGCCCAAACCAGCCAGATTTAGGAAAACTACGGATCAGTATCCCTCATGAACATAAATACAAAAGTCCTTGACAAAATATTAACAAATTGAATCCAGCGATGTATAAAAAATAACTGGGTCTTAGGAATGCAAGACCTTGAAGATAAGTCAGTGTCATCCACTCTATTAACAGTCCAAAGAAGAAAGACATATCATATCAGTAAATGCAGAAGAAGCATTTGAAACCAACAGAGCCAGCTCCAGAGGTTTTGCTAGGGTAGATTCGAGTGGAAACCACAAGGAAAAGAGAATTGCATCAAGTTCTAATGGTGGTAGAGCTTAGATAAAACCACTCCCAAAAAGTAAGAGTCTTGCCCTAAATGGGGAAGTACTGAAGAATCAGAGTGCTGTTTATTGAGGAATTGAATAAAGGGGCTTGAGAGTATGAGACCAAAGGTGACAGTCTTATGAGGAGTCATTTTTTGTGGGGGAGAGATGGTTTGGAGGGAGAAGAATCTCCTGGATGGTTGATGGTGAAGGAGAATAAGGAGCAAGTGGTAGAAATTAGGGTCCAAAGAAACAAAGGAAACCTACCAAACCACTTCATTTACTGTACCAACAGAAGAGGGTACTCCTGAACTAAAAACCTTAGAAAGCCTCTCAAGTGTTTACCCTTGTCTGCATAGAACCACCTCTAAGTCCTGGTCGAGAAAAACATCAGATATTAACAATAGACAAGAAATAGGGCTCCTGGGTGGCTCAGACTTTGGCTCAGGTCATGATCTCATGGCTCATGAGTTCAAGCCCTGTGTCGGGCTCTGTGCTGACAGCTCAGAGCCTGAAGCCTGATTCGAATTCTGTTTCTCTGCCTCTCTCTGCCCCTGCCTGGCTCTCTCTCTCTCTCTCTCTCTCTCTCTCTCTCTCTCAAAAGTAAATAAACATTAAAAAAAGTAAAAAACAAAAAAACAAAAAAACCCAGAAGATAGAAGCCAACATCTACACAAACCTACTATAAAACAAAAAATGAGAATCAGAATATTTTCAGCTGATAAAATTCTCTCTCCAAAAACAATGATGAAGGAGAGGAAAACTGTTACAGAACACCCTGACTTGAATTAACTATTCTTAAGCAAATATTTGCAGATATGAGGAAAAAACCCCCACTTCAAATCATAAATTTGAAAGCTCAGAAAGGAAACGGACAAAGCAGAAATGATAGATGCAAAATGAGTGTTTACTAAATTCAGGAAAGAAATAGAAAAGAAAATAATCTCAGAACTGAAAAAAATTACAAAGTGCCCAACAGAGAATAGATTTGATTGAACATGTAATAGAAGAGGAATGAAAATAGCTAAGGATGCCAGCAAGAAATAATGAGATTTAATAACACCAAAGAGAAATTGTTGGCTAGAGAGGGTAGGCAGAGAAGTGTCAACATTTATGTAATTAGAGTCCGTGAAGAAAGAAAAAAAGATGAGTAAACAGAACAAACATTTAAAACTATAATACAATAACACTTTCTGGAAATGAAATAAGATCTGAGTTCATGTGTTCAAAGAGCTTACTCTGTACATGGGGAAATAGACCTAGGGATAAAGGAACACATTCTCTGGGCCTTAAACTTAAAAAGACCAATTCCTTTCAATGGAAAGGAAATCAGTTTGGCATCAGACTTCTTAATAGAAACATATGAGGAAGGATGACAATGGAACATTTTCAAGAAACCCCATGGAAAAAAGTATGAACCAAGGTCTTTTAGATCCAGACAAACATAAAGACTATAGAATAATTTTAAACACGCCAGGACTCAAAATACCACATTCACAAATCATTCCTGAGGAATTGGAACACCACACTTACTGTTTTTAATAATAAGGAGGCCTGGGTTCTAGTCTTTCCTGGGCCACTCTGTTGCATGACACTGGCAAGTTATTTCCTTTCTCTGGACTGGTGATCAGAGGCCTTTTAGATGTCCCGTAGCTTTAGCCATGTTGATTTTACATGGTCTTCATAAAGATCCTAGGACCACAGACTTGGTGAAATGGGGTAGAAAGAGCAGGGTCCTGTTGTCAGATGGACCTAGGTTGGAACACTTTCTCTGCCCCACCCGCCAACCATCCATTACCCAGCCAGCCACTCACCAAATTTTGGAGGACCCTCAAGGTGCCAGGCACACTGGTAGGCTCTGTGGATGCAGGTGAGCCAAGCGGATCCAGACAGCTTACGTTCTAGTGCGGGGAGAGAGACATTTAACTAACAGTCACACAGATGTATCCTCACCGATTGTGGTAAGCAGTGTGGAAAGTACGCAGCACTCTCTGAGCGTGGATAGAGGATGGGAATGTGAGTCCAGGGAAGGCTTCCCTGAGAAGATGACACTTGGGCTGAGCCTGGAATGATGGAGGGAGTCTCCCAGGGGAAGGGGGTCGGGTAGGACATTCTGGGCAGAGGGGACGGCACAGGTTGAGAGTAGTGTGGTGACAGGAAGCACAAACCTTTGGGGGCCAGGTGGCAGAAGCAAGTGGCCAAGTGATGGGGGTGAGCTAAGGGCCAGGTCCGGGAGTGAAGATGTGGTCTGTCTGTGATAACTTGGGGAACACACTGAAACACCTGAAATGGGGAGGCTGGATTGGAATCATGTATTTAAAAGATCATTCTGACTGCCCTGGGGAGAATGACTGTGTGGTGGGAGGAGCAGGTAAGGAGGGATGGGGGCAAGTCAAGTCTTCACTGTGTGGCTCTAGGTGCATCACTGAACTTCTCTGAGCCTTAATCTGCTCTCTTGCAAAAGTGGAATAATAACGCTAACCTACAGGACTGCCGTGAGGATAAGATGAAATCAAGGGTGCCGAATGCCTGACACAGAAGAGAAAGTTCAACAGCTCTGGCTCCGTGTTACTGTTTAATTTACCTTAGACAAAGGTGCAGTCTCCAAAACCAGTTTATGGTGTCCTCTTTTCCTCTCCTCTGCATCCCCATCTGGGCCTTCTGTTCACCCCGCTACTTTAGGAATGTCTATGACAAGAATTGAACGTAATTTCAGTTTTAGTAGGGAAATAGTGCCCTGGATCAGGAACACATATGGGGGGCATGAGGACCCTTGAATCAGACAGGAACAGGGTCCTTGGGGTCTGTTCCCCACCGTCTCACCCCCTGCCAATGTTCTTGAGACTCAGCACTGTCCAGATCTCTTAGAACAAGAATACAGTCCTTCCTGGCAGGACTATCATTTCCAAAGGAAACACCAAACCTAAGAGAGGGATCTTCTTCCCCTTGCTGCTTTCTCTCCCTCTCTCTCTCTCTTAACTACTTTCCATTTGCTTTATTTATTATTTTTTATATATTTTTTTTAACATTTATTCATTTGAGAGAGACAGAGAGAGACAGAGTGTGAGCAGGGGAGAGTCAGAGAGAGAGGGAGACACAGACTCTGAAGCAGGCTCCAGGCTCTGAGCTGTCCTCACAGAGCCTGACATGGGGCTCCAACTCATCTACTGTGAGATCATGACCTGAGATGAAGACAGATGCTTAAACAGCTGAGCCACCCAGGTGCCCCTCTGTTTGCTTTAGAAATGTAAACTAGTTTGAATCTCCAACTCATTGAGCCCCGAGACAGTTAGCACCCCACTTTGCCAAAGCTCCCCCATCTGCTTGCACTGTGTGAGAATGCAATAGAACAAGCATTCATTGCGTGCACATAGCCCTGTGAAGACTGGCCTCAGAATTTTACATGCTGACCTCTTTTTCTTTTCTTTTCCTTTGTTTTGTTTTGTTTTTCCTTTCCTTTCCTTTTTTTTGTGAGGTTTAATATACATATGATGAAGTGCACCTTGCACTCCAATCTTACATGTACAGCTCAGTGACATTTTAACAAATTTAACTACTACCCTATCCAAAATCTAAAACATTTCCAGCACCCCTAGGAAGTCTCCTGTGTCTTCTTTCCAGACACTACCACCCCTACTCCTAGGGGTCATGATTATTCTGACTTCTGTCCACAATGGTCAGTTTTGCCTGTTCTTAATTTTCACAGGAAGGGGGTCTAGGCTTTCACTCAGTCTAGTGTCTGCAAGATCCAGTCATATCGTTGCATGCATTTGTAGACTATGTCTGTGTCTTCTTATTGCCGTATAGCATCCATTTTATGGATATACCACAGTGTATCCGTTATCCTGTTGATACTTGGGTTGTTTCCAGCTTGGGGCTGTTACCAGTAGTTCTGCTGTGAACACTCCCCGGCATGAGTGTTTAGGTATCTGCAGGCACTCATTTCTGTTGGGCATATGCCCAGGAGTAAAATTCCTGGGTCATAGTGTCCACATTTTGTGAGCACTACTGAACAGCTTTCCTAAGTGGTTGAACCATACTGCATTCCCACCAGGAGCCAAGTGGTAGAAATCCAATTCAAACTAGCTCAGCCAAAAAGCATACAGGTTCACACAACCAAACCATGGGACGAGGGAGGGTACAACTGCTTCAGGGGTGGAGGAGACCATGCTGGGCTCTCTCTGTGTCTCTGGGCATGTCAGCATCTTTCTCTCTGACTCCAGACTGGCTTCCTCCATGGGTCAGCCTGGCCTGATGCTTCAGAGCCCCACTGACTGGCCTGAGCTAGAGTCTATACTAGCCCCTGGGGGCCTGTAACTGGCAGCCCCCACTGGAACCACAGAGGTGGAGGAGGGGAAGAGCAGTTATCCCTAAAGATAGGCATGGTGTCCCCAGACTGCATGGGAGTTATCTGCTGCAGGGACAGCGCTTTGGGTGTCTGGATTCCATTCCCACCTCTGCAGGGTCTCCTCCTGGCCATGTGACCCTGGGCATTTGCTACAGACTGAATGTTAGTGTCCCCCCAGGTATGTTGAAAGCTAGTCCCCAATGTGATAGTATTTGGAGGTGGGGCTTTGGAGAGGAGATGATGTCATAAGGGCAGAATCTACATGAATGGGGGGAGTGCCTTATAAAAGAGACCCAGAGAGCTTCCTCACCCCTTCTACCGTAGGAGGACACAGCAAGAAGGCCATTTATGAACCAGGAAGCAGGCTCTCAGCAGAACCCAAATCAGCCAGTTCTTTGGTCTGGGACTTTCCAGCCTCCAGAACTTTGAGAAATAAATTTCTGTTGTTTAGAAGCCACTTAGTCTATGATATTTTGTTGTAGTAGCCCAAATGCCCAAGGCAGCAATTCATTTAGTTTCTAAATGGATTAGGAAACCTGTTTCCTAATGGATAAAGAGGAATAACACCTTCTTTACACGATATTAAATAAGGCATAACAGCTGATGCCTCTTGCCCATGACAGATGTCCCTTCCCTTCCTGCCCTCTCAGAGCAAGGCTGGGATGTGAATCCTCCTGTCTTATGATTCCTAGAACTGTGTCCTGTATCTGGGCTATTCCTTCTTGCCACTGGCTGAGACAACAAAGTCTTGGGGCAGGATGGGGGTCCTCACTCTGAACTGTATACATGTTTGCTGGCTTGTATATTACCCTGTGCTGGATTCAGTGGGAAAGGAGAGATTTGGATGCTGGCTCAGTTAGGAGTGATGTTCTGGCAGATTCTAAAAACAGCAACTTAAACAAATTAGTTTCATTTCCTTCCTTTAAATAAAATAAATATGGAGGCTAGCAACTCAGTGCTGATACAGCCACTCCTTGATGCCATCAGAGGCCCGGAATCTTTCCTGGAGAAAGCCATCCCTGTCACAGTATCCCCAGTGTGAGCTAGTTCGAGAGGTCTCTGCTTCTTGCAACCAAATGTTCTGGTCTCCAGTGGTTTTAAACCAAGGTCATCAAGTGCTTCATATAGAAATTCAGTGTACTTCAGGGCGCCTGGGTGGCTCAGTCGGTTAAACGGCCGACTTCAGCTCAGGTCGTGATCTCACAGTTTGTGGGTTCGAGCCCTGCATCAGGCTCTGTGCTGACAGATCAGAGCCTGGAGCCTGCTTCGGATTCTGTGTCTCCCTCTCTCTCTGCCCCTCCCCCACTCACACTCTGCATCTCTCTCTCTCAAAAATAAATAAACATTAAAAAAAAAAAGAAATTCAGTGTACTTCAATAATGGAATCAAAGCAAGTTTTGGTTAAGTTCATTCTGGTGAGGGTGTAACGTCTGACGTTGTAGATATTCTCGCATGTTCATTTACAGAGTTCAGCACTGAAGACAAGAGTTATTTGTGCTTGCAAATATGAGCATAAATTTTAGCAGAACACAGCAGCATGGCAAAAACAATATTCATATCCAATTAGGAAATTCATGGAGCAGAAATGAACTTCGAATTGGTGGTGGTGCACATATTTGAAAATAGGGATAAAATAGGCTGCCATGATATATCAATTGAAATAGAAATTGTACTTATTTGAACACACACACATAAAGAGTAATTACACTATAATATTTTTGTGGCAAAGACTATATTTAATATAAAACACAGTTCAATATGTCAACAGGGCCAGGAGTAGGGGGTGGGGAGGAAGGCATCCACCACTCATGAAAAATTTAAGAACCAAAAAATATAGTAGTCAACATAAATAGTATTTTAAGGCAATATTTTCAAAATAAAAATTAATTCAAAAATCCATAGGAACAAAATACCAATAATTTCAATAGACAGGATCAGTATTATTGATTTTTTTCTTTTGCCTCTGTCATCCAGTAGGATTTGGGCACAGCACTGCATAGCAAGATGTATTTTGTTTTTGTTTTTATTTTTGCTGTCTGCCACAGTTGATTTTTTAGATGTTTGAGCTTTTGGAGAATTACTTTGTAAATCACTTTAAGTGTTTATAATGGAATTGAACATTTTGTAAATGACTCCCCTCAATTTTGTTCAAAAGAAACTGAAAATCTTTAATCACAGTGTTCCACAAGTCTGCAAAAATAAACTGTAACTTTTAAAAACTGTATCAAATTTTAGGTGTTATAGACAACACCAGTGATTTTACACTGGAAAACATTTACATTTATCCCTCAAAAGCAAGGAAGTCGCTGAATAAATTAGCTGATGGGAGCTCAAATGATGGTCAAGTTTAATGTAGAAATTCTATAGTTTTTCTTTGACTTGTGGGAAGAATGTTTTGATGGAATTCCTATGTTTAATTGGGAAAATTTATATTTTGTGTCTGGATTGAAGGGAGACAGAAGGCTGATGGTTTACAGCATCTGCAATTGGCAAAATATTAAAAAGAATTACAAAGCCAAGTTATGTGGTGAGTTTTATCTTCTCATGATACTTGTTAAAGAAAGATATTCTAAGTGGAAGTTAAAAAGACACTACCCATGAAAATACTTGGGCTGAAATAGTTAACCATTCCTATCTAAAGAAATTAGAACTGAGAATATCTTCCATTTGTTAGAATTTGCTCCAAGCTTCCCAGGTATCTCTGCAGAGAAACAATACTCGTGTTAAAAATATTGTGCTCAGGACACTTGGGTGGCTCAGTTGGTTAAATGTCCAACTTCAGCTCAGGTCATGATCTCATGGTTTGTGAGTTTGAGCCCCGCATCAGGCTCTATGTGGACAACTCAGAGCCTGGAGCCTGCTTCGGATTCTGTCTCCCTCCCTCTCCACTCCTCTCCCACTCACACTCTGTCTCTCTCAAAAATAAACATTAAAAAAATTTTTTTAAAAAATATCGTGCTCTCATGTACCCCAATGTTCATAGCAGCACTCTCCACAATAGCTAAAACATGGAAAGAGCCTAAGTGTCCATCAACAGACGAATGGATCAAGAAGATGTGGTTTATCTATACCATGGAATACTACATGGCAATGAGAAACAATGAAATCTGGCCATGTGTAGCAACATGGATGGACCTTGAGGGTGTTATGCTGAGCGAAATAAGTCAGGCAGAGAAGGACAAATACCATATGTTTGCACGTATAGGAGGATTAGGAGGAACTTGACGGAGGACCAAGGGGGAGAAGAAGGGCGGAAATGGTGGGGGAAAGGGAGAGAGGCAAACCATGAGAGACTCTTGAATGCTGACAAAAACTGAGGACTGATGGATGTGGGGGGGAGGGGGGGATGGGCATGAAGGAGGGCAATTTGGGGATGAGCACTGAGTGTTATGTAGAAACTAATTTGACAATAAACTATTTGTAAAAAAAAAAAAAAAAAATATCGTGCTCTACAGAGGAGAGCCAACAAAGAAAGGGTATCAACAATTTCCATTTTATTAATTATAACATGTAATGTTGAATATTATTATAGGCAAGTTTTTGAGGGAGGAAAAAGATCACATTAAAAAAAACTCATCATTAAAAAAAAATAAATTAAAAAAATTTTTAAAAAAGGGGCACCTGGGTGGCTCAGTCGGTTTAGCATTTGACTTCAGCTCAGGTCATGATCTCATGGTTCGTGGGTTTGAGCCCCGTGTCAGGCTCTGTGCTGACAGCTCAGAGCCTGGAGCCTATTTCAGATTCTGTATCTCCCTCTCTTTCTGACCCTCCCCTGCTCCCACTCTCTCTCTCTCTCTCTCAGAAATAAAAACATTAAAAAAATTTAAAAACTCATATTTAGAAAAGTACCAGTGACATGATGTTAGAAACAGATATAGCTAAGAAATTGATTAAAGTACATGAACACATACCAAAATTATTATTATTTTTATGTTACTTTTCAAGCTCAAATAATAAATACCATAAGTTTTTAAAAAATTTTATGTATAAAAATTTTTAATATGTTATCTTTTATTTTCAAAAAATGCTTATTTTATTTCGAGAGAGAAAGAGAGTGTGAGCAGGGAAGGGGTAGAGAGAGGGAGAGACAGAGAATCCCAAGCAGGCTCCCACGCTGTCAGCACAGAGCCTGATGTGGAGCTCAATCTCAAAAACCGTGAGATGATGATCTGAGCCAAAACCAAGAGTTGGACACTTATCAACTGAGCCACCCAGGAGCCCCTTAATGTGTTATTTTCAAATAAACTGTTAGTTTTAGAATAGCTTTATATTTACAGAAAAATTGCAAAGATAGTACAGGGAACTTCCATGTACCTCACCATCCAGCTTCCCCTCTTACTAACATCTTACCTTAGTGTGGTACATTTGTTATCATTAATGAATCAATTCTGGCACGTTAGTAACTAAAGCCCCTACTTCATTCATTTTCTTTTGTTTTTACCGACCGCCTTGTTCTTGTCCAGCATCTCATCCAGGATGTTACACTGCATTTTGTTGTTAAGTCTCCTGAGGCTCCTCTTCATGGTGACAGTCTTCAGACTCTCCCTGTTTTGGATGACCTTGACAGTTTTGAGGAGCATTGGTCAGGTACGCCTCTCTCCTGGGCTTTGTCTGCTGTTTTTCTCATGTCTAGAACAGGGGTATGAGTTCTGGGGAGGAAGAACAAAGAGGTAAACTGCCCTTCTCCTCATACTTACCAACATAACTTACACTCTTGATGTTGGCCTTGATCCCATGGCGGAGGTAGTGTCTGTTGGCTGTCTCTACCACAAGCTATTCCCTCCCCTTCACATACTGTGCTCTTTGGAAGGAAGTCACCATGTACAACCCACACATCAGGCTCGGGGTCTTATGTTCTTGTTCTGTGAGTGGGGAGTGTGTATATATAATTTGGGATTGCTTTGCACCAGAGTTTTGTCTTGTCGCTCTCATTTATTTATTCAATCATTAATTTATGGCACTATGGACTCATGGATATGTATTTTGTACTTTGGGTTATAATACAATACATTTTAATTTTGTTGCTTAAATTGTCCCAGCTCTGCCTGTTTGGAGATCTTGCAGTTGGCTCATGTGTCTTTTTGACATAACCCTCACTGAGGGTTTCGTGGGAGCGTTCAGACAGTGGCATTTTAGGCAGTTTGATTTCTTTGTTTTCTTAAATGTTT